CTTGGGCATGTCAGCCATAAAGATGGCAAAAAGAAATGGCGACAGGATAGACCCTTGGGGCACACCTGACCTAATGGGTCGAACCAAGGAACGTACGTTACCCATATGCATATTAATTAATCAAATATTGTTAATGCAGATATCTGCTATTTATATATCTGCATGCTATTTAATTAAAATTTTCTATAAAATTTTGTTATTAAATAACATAAATATTCAATGAAACGACAAGAGATGTCGATATTAATTTAAAATTATTTAATTGTCAATTTGAATAAAAGATGGAGTTAGAGTATTTAATAGATTCTCTTATTAAACAGAATATACATTTTTTATACCAAACCCATAATACTTTCACGCATGATACATGGTGATACTAGAATGAGATTGATAAACATAATGTAACAATAGACTAACATAAGAATCACAAAGTTAATATTATCAATTATATAATTTCATTACTTATTGAATGATTAACAAAAATAAGTATCTGCATATTTCAATATTTCTTTACTTTAAGCTTTGTTCACATCTCACTTCTCTCATTTACGTCATTGGTGACCCTCAACAATTACCTTCTATACTTATATCAGGTATCAACACTTACACTTTTATTTGAGAATTTACGTACTACAAAAATGATTACAAATATATATTTTAATCATCATTTAAACGGCCCAACTTGCGTTTATTGATCTCAGAAATGCAAGGTTTTTTTTTAATTTTGTTTTGGTGAGATGTGAACCGTTGATTTTCCTCTAAAATTTTAGTTGATTGTTAAAATATGTAAAATTGAAATTTGTTTATCATTTATTAATATAGAAAACTAAAGAGTAATTTCAATTTCAGTTTAGTAGATCTACAATATTTTATTTTAAATTTGAATCGCTTAATATTATCATTATTAAAGTTATTTAACTCAGTGTTCTTCAATCTTCTTTTTTGTATTGGAGCAAGAAATTTGTAATAGTAATGATTATTTGATGGGAAAGAAGCACAAATTAAATATTTGGCCCCTTTGTTTTATTGAGACGATGGCGCTATTTAGATGTCCCCCAGTCGCAAGATTTCCTTCCTGTTTACATTTATATTGCTATGAACTTCTTTGGAAAATAATTTAAATACAATTTTCCGCGACAACTTTCGCCAAGATTAACTTTAGAAAGGTCTCTAAAGTTTTTTGGGTGTCCTGAACTAAGACGATTCGGGGGATCTGGACCAACCTGGACCTATTGATACTTCCTAATTAACCCAAGTTTGGATTAGTTGTGCTTATTTTTAATTAGGAATCAGTAAGATTGATTATGGTTTCTAAAAATCTATTATTTTAAAACAGATATAATTCTTTAGTAAAAGTGATTTTAAATGTATTACTATTATATTTATAATCTTCTATGTGTATTCAATTACTTTAGTTACTTATATAATTCTAATAAAAGACGAAATATTTTTTAATTAAGTAATTAAATGTTTATTTTTTTTTCTTATTTATCCAAATTATACACATTTCCTGTGTTTATTCTAAATTTAAATTCTTCCTCATGGTTCTTATAAATTAAATATACCTCATTATCTCATTAATTCCTTAATACAGTATCATAATTTGTACGTATATGTAAAAAAAGTACTTTTTGACGTTTTAACTTAATTGGTAAACATTAGGTGTTTTCGTAATTTAAGATAATTTATTATTTTTTCAAGTAAATTACGTTTTTATTTATATCGACCGTAGTCTTTCCGCCGCAATTTATTATCTATTTATAGACTGATTTATTTATAAATTATGGAAATTAATATTAACAAGCCTATTTAGTTAATAGTAAATAAATGATAATTTCGCTACCTCTTTTTTGTTTTGTAGACTAGATCAGCGTTTCTCAACCTTCTTGCATCACGATCTAATATTTTTCTTTGTAGTTGTAGTCATATTACACAATTGCTAAGAGTTCTTCACCAGTTCATCGCTTTGAATTGACAAACTGACAGCTATCATTTCACGACACATTAAAAATTTAACTCGACCCAAGTTTGGTGACGGTTCAGTAACGCTGGTATAGATACTTAAATTAGTATAATCTAAATTAACTTAAAATTTTGATGTAATAAGTAAACGACTCATGTGTTGAGAATGAAAAAAAAATATACTCAACTTTCCATTGCAGAAAAGTAGATGGTACTTAAAGTGCATTGGATATTTGTGTAATCAGCACAAAGCCTTTCACTAAAAGGTTTTTACGTAGCTTTCTTTTTATAAAATTGTAACCAGTTCGATATCACTGTTTAAAAATATATATAAATATATCTGAGTATTTGAGATACTCTCTATTTTACCATAAAACTACCATTTATAAGTTATTTTTTGTTTTATTTTTTTATTATAAAATCAATCTATTAGCATACAAAAGAATAAGCTCTAATTCTGACTAAAGATGAAGATTTTAGATTGATCCAACGGCCTAACTTCAATGATAAAATTTAAAGAAAATTAAAGAAACTAATTTATAAATTCCCCAACAACGACATCCACTATTCGTCTCATTACATTAGAAACGAGTAGGAAGATCGTGTTCCAACCACACGATCTTCCTACGTTTCAGTCTTCGAAGCTATCTGTCTTCCTCAGCTCTATAGCAACTGGCTATTCGGATTGTCCTTCAGCCGATGACGATATCTGGTACTGGTTTTTGTGATCTCTTCTTTAACGAAGAAGTAGATTAGTGAGTCATTGGTGAAGAACCAGGTAGAATTGATCATTTGCCTTAACGTTTTTGACTGGAATTTCCTAAAGATATCTATGCTTGAGTTGCAGATCACCAAAGCTGGATACCATAAGTCCCAATCGGTTTGACGACTGCCTTATGTTTGTTTATTGAGACGGTTGAATATCTGCCCAGTAGCAAATGCAATGCCGAGCTATTTTCTTTTGGTATATGCTTAAATGTAGAGCAGTTCTTCGTTTCAAATTTTTTAACACCCAACATTTCATTCAAAGCAATATGACTTATGGTCAATAGCCCTTTGTTAATTTCTTCTTTATTATGATTATGAAAAAAAATGTTTTTATAGGACTGTTACATTAAATATTATTATTATTATATAATTCGAGAATTAAAATTGTATAACTCGTTGATTTTACTTTATTCATTTATTTTATGTGTTAATTAGTTCTAATTATATTAGAGATAATAGAATTTGTGGATTTATCAAGTAAAAGTATAAATATAATTGATGTGTTATGAATCATAGCAATAATAATATAATAAAACCTTATCAATATATTGGAGCTGTGTGCATAGATTAAACAAATTTTTATAAAAAAATATACACAATTTTATTACTTTCCCTCTCTCTCTCTTTCAGTATAATTTTCGTACAACACTGATGATCATAATTCTAATCTTTCACCAACGAAATTGAACTAGATTATTTATATAGCGTGTTCATAAAACTGTACATTGCTATCGACGTCGAATTAGGAGGGTCTCAAACCCTCAACAAGACCCTAGAACTGGAGCCATCCGCTTGCACTTTGGGCCCTTCCTGTTGAGCCTGTTGCGCCCTCTCCCTGCGTGCCCTTGCCTCCTGCACACTTGAATCCAAGCGTCTCTGAGCAGCCTCCCTTAATCTCTGGAACGCCGGACGAGTATTTTGTACCAAATCATTCACAGCGTTCAAAGTTGCAATTGGAATCTAAAAAGAAAACAACAATGAATTCATGACACCTATTCGATGAAAGAGGACACACATGGGGATGCAAAGTATACAGATTATTGCGAAACAATGAATAAATGCATCGGCGCGTTACTAATCACATAAATGATTTATGCTGAATGAGCTTCTCTTTTATGAATTATGAATGATAATGATGGAAACGTATATTATGAGATATTAATATTTAATGATCCGTCGATGATCAGACTGCATGCCAATTAGTACGATGTGTATGAGTAGAATCATGTCAACTTACTGGTCAAATTTTCGCCGTTATTACTTTGCCTACTTTAACAACCCTCACGACGTTAAATTCATCCCCATCGAAACGATTCTGCCAAAAATAAAATACATCAATTTTCTTCATTCGCATCGCATTGCATCATATTACAATAGCAACAAAAATAATAGCAACAATAACAAATCGTAAATCTAGCGCTTTTTCAATGTTCTCCATAAAATCAAATTGATTTTGCCTTCGGCATTTTACAAGCCACCAGCATATGAATTAATTTATTCTCAATTGCGAAAGTGAATTGAGTAACTTCCTTGTTTACGCTGCGGTATGGTCTCAAAATAAATGCTTAAACTACTTCTCTTTTTTTTTTGGTATTTATGAAAATATCATTTCCTTGTTGTATATAATTAAAATAAATTATATAATAGTTGTTAACTTACGTTGAATATGTTGTCAAGTAGTGGTGACCTGTCTCCTGCCTGGCGTTTTCCTCTTCCTTCGATGGCACCACCATCTCCACCGATCGACACTCGATACTCGTACTCATTTCCCTGTAAAAGCGAAAGATTAAAACCTCAATCTTCGGGTGTTGGATAACTGATAAGGTGAAAAGCTTCCGCGTTTCTGGTGGGAAAATCGACAGCGCAATGCTATTGCAAAACACATGCAGCAGTGGAACACGTTCGTTTCAGATCATTACATGTATCCATTTATTCAATTACCTTTTTTATTAATCTAAATGCGCATTGCGTAATACCATTTTAGTCACTTGTGTTTATTTTTTACTTTAAATTATGCAGTATCACTTAAAAGACAATTTTTATCTAATTGTTTGTTTTTTTGGTGTAATTATTATACTTTATACGTAAATAACACTAATCAAATTTAATTTAATTGTATATATTATTTATTTGTTTATTTACATTTACATTAGAGTTGAAATATTTTAAAAATATTTCTAACTGTTATTTTTTAGTTGAGGATGCATTTTACTCATCTTATCAGTTCTTAGAAACTTGACTTATTTCAGGAATTGATATGATAGTGCATTACAAGACACGTCCAGAATGAAAAATAATGAACAGTTTAAGCAGTAAAATATTCTCAAGATTATAAGATTATTAAAAAAATTGCCAAATTAAAAAAAAATACACCAAAAAATGTTTATAAATATAACAATACCTCTGATACTGCTGTTATTCGATGTCACTGTTTTAAAACCGGATTAAAAGCGTATAAACATTAACTGCACAAAAAGAGACTGAACTCTATGTAGGAAAATTTAACCTTAATATATTTAATCCGCACTATTTGAGGCCTTACATAGTATATTTTGAAACTGTTTATGAAAATTCAAATCTATGAGAGATATTTTCCAAAATAAATTATGTAAATTGTTTAATTCAACATCAATGTAGATAATTAAAAATGCAAAAAAAAAATGTAAAAATATTATAAAATTATATATTATATAATTACAAAAAAAAAATATACTAATGTGCAAAAATACGTAAATGTAATAAATTTTATTTTTTTTTTTTGACATTTGACATTATTTTTTGTTTGATGAAAAAAAATGATGTTTTTTCTTTAGAGATATTTTAAGATTTTATCTCATAGTTGTATATTAGGTCATAACTATTATATTAGTAGGAAATACGTAATAAATTCCATTCCTAGCAACTAATTTACATTTTAATCAAATAAGACAAAAAAATAATTTCTGGAAATAATTCATGTGTATATATTATATTTTTTATATCGTATAATTTTATTCACAATCTATTCATCAATGTGAACATTGAATAAATTTTAAGATCGCGGTTAACACTAAATGGATAATATTTCCGGGTGGATAGATACCATGATCGACTTGTAGGTTAGCTTCAGTAGTATATTGATGCTCTGTGTTTCCACTATTTCCTTTGACTGTGAATCTGCTGCTATCCTTAACACTGTCATTGTCCATCGACTTGGCATAAGGTCCATATGCTGAACCTCATTCATTTGACTGTCCATCTGTGACGAACGATGGCCTTATTGCTGCAAGCACCGAGAGGGCTCACAAAGAGTCTGGCTTGACCACGAAAGAGTGTATACGGAGAAGATGTACTTTTAGTTAATTTGCAATTTCATTATGCAAACATCTTTATGATCGCAATTAATTTCATGTCGTAAAAGTGTTTACCCTTTTACAGTCTTATTTATTTATATTTCAATTATATAACTGTTATTTTTCTTTGAAAGTGCGTGGTATAGTTAATAGAACGATCGACTATCCAATTATATAATATAAAATAACAGCAAAAAGAAAGTATATGAAATCGAGTGAAAAGTAAATTAAAAATGCAAAATCGTGTCTGGAGGCAATGGAAACAAACGGCGGAGAAACTCCGCCAATTATAAAAATCTCTTTCGCGGAATGAAATCATTTTCAAAGGCCTGTATTTTGCCTCTTGAGTTAATCACTACAATCCACGAAATGATGCTATATATATATACACGCATGAAAATCACTTTCTCCGCCACGTGAAATCCAAATGTTCGCTCTTTATGCATGCGAAGTAGAAATTGTTATTATCGAAAGGAAAGTCCACCTGGTTTCACTTTCTTTGATCGGCCAAAAACAAACGCAAACCGTTATTATAGTTCCATAAATTAAATATGGATTTAAGTTATCGACGCGGAAGTTATCTAATAAGATTTTATAAATACTCACATCGCTGTAGCTGATTTCCCCTAGGCCAATGTTTTTTGGTGTGTCCACGACTCCGGCTATCTGCAACGCTTGAGCCGTGAGAACAGCAATCAACAAGATCCAGACGAACTTGTCCAAAACATAGATCAGCATCTTGAAAAAAATGAAGAAAGAAAATTGCCTGTTATTCCTACTCAAAATTCGAACAATGAATGATTTGTAATTATCGATAGAAAGCAGTCGCATTATCCTTATCGTTATTCAAATAAGAAAAAAACTATGCACTCGATTAACGCGATAGTAAATGTGTTATTTATTGTGCACGATCCCAGCCATTGTTGTGGGCACTTTAAATAAATACATTGTTCTCTGACTATGTTCTACTAATGATGAGTCACAATTAGCAGTAAAGAGCACCTGATGTATTGTGTCGAATGGATGTTTGTTGTTTTGACGTCGAAAACGCAAATTAAAAACAGCAGCATTATTTTCGTTTCCAGTTGAACGTCCTCAAGGAGAAAAGAAAAGGAAAGAGCGACAGATAAACAAGCACGCGATAAAATATCAATTATCCCAGGACAATTAACATTTGAAGTTCAAGTTCGTGAATTATTGAATCTAACAATCGATATCACCTTGAAACATTAAAAAGACCGCACAATCTCTTTAAATTCCAATCTCATTATTATTGTTTATTGCGTGATTTTAAATCGAATCGACTGCATTTTTTTTCTCTCCAGAATCTAGTGCCTGGATTCGTTACAAGGTTTTCTAAACACGTTTCAGTCATGCACTCTTATTTTGAGTAAATAATTGTGCTTGTTTTTGAAAAACTTCATGCCTTTGCAGCCTTGATGCAGTTTGCAAATACTAGGTGTATTTGTCTGATTCATGTTGTTTATGCGATCTCGTTTGTTTGATTTGGAATCGGATTTTTAATTAATTACTTCCAATCCATACACACATGTAGACAGAGCTCTGAGATATACGAAAAAGAGGTAAATGATATTTTCAATAACAACTTGTTGTACCCATGCAAATATTTGACTTTCGACAAAGGTCCTGACCATTGCTGAGATACTATAAACATTATTGAATGTCAAGAAAATATACTTTTTACAACTTGCGATTATTAATTTCAATAACAATGTGCTAAGGATCTACAATCACCTTATATTAACTGAGTTTTACCTGTGTTTATATTAACTGTTATTTATCTTTTATGTGTTGGTTTTACATACATTATAAAATTTCAATGTTTTCAAAAGATTTAATAGTTTATTGAACAATAACAAAATATACTAAAATTCTTATGTTCAGCTACATTTATAGTTAATTAATAAGAGTTAATCAATCAATTTGTTTTGGTCTTAATAAAGTGTCATTTCTATATCACTATTTCATCATTAAAAATCTCTTGTTCAAATGAAAATTTAAATCTAAATTTGTTAAAATATATGTTGTATATACTATTTAGTAAATATACTGTGATTATATTTTTTAGTTTATTAATAATAATAATCAAATTTATAGACCAAAAAACGGATACAAAATAAAATAAAACAAATTTATAATAAGTACCTTTGGCCAAAAGGACCCGAATCAGTTTTTCCAAATAAAAAATCAATTGTTCTTCCTTCGGTCCCCAAAAAAAAGTACATAATTTCCCTAGGCATGCACAATTAGCCCATAAATAAAAAGTTAGTGAAACAAGGTAAAAATTATATAAATATATAAAAAAATATAAAAGAATAGTAGCTGCATAATATCATCGATAATTGAGTATATAAACCAACAAATAACCAAGCAAAAAAAACTTCATACTTATATACTTCCATCATTGTTTTGTCTAATCAAGTTTATATTACAAATCTATGGTCTATAGGTCTATTGAATTTAGTAAGATTCTCAAAAACATGATTTGGATTATAATAAAAATAAATGTTTTGTGTATTTGCAACTTATTTATTTTTTTCTTTTAAAACAGATTTTGAATAACTCATGAATTATGACATCCAATATAAAAAACAAGAAAGCGTCATGAAGTATTTTTGTATAATGTAAATGATATTGCTATTCTCAACAAATTCTAACAACAAAATGTATCAATTCCAGATAAAATAAGAATAGTTTTACCTTTAACAAATTAAAAATGAAATAATTATTATTAAAGATGAACTGTGAGATGAAATATTCAAAGAGTATAGCATATTTGGACTTGTAAATCAAGTTTTATTAAGTGTACAAGTTTTTACAAAGTGTATTAACATATATTCCTTTCTTTTGTATTAAACATAAAATATTGTTATTTTTTATTGTGAAATTGTTTCATTTACAAAACAATTATAGGATAATATTATCACATTCAAGGAAAAGTTGCCAAAATTCGATCACTTTTTTTAAATGTAAATGTTATTACTTACTTTTTGAAAATGAAGTATTTTTTTTATCTTTCTAGTCAAAATTTACCGAAAAAAAGTTGTATAACAAACATAATTTATTGCATAGATACATGCATAAATGAGTTATTTCGAAGATATTATTGAGGAATTGAGAGAAACACAAAATTATTTGTTTCATACTTTAGGAAAGTTAAATATGGGTCGTTCATATTACTTGAACAGGTGATCAATGCCTTTTACCAAGTTGGTATATACGGGAAAATACTTTTTAATAAACTATTTATTGAAGTTACAAACTTTAAAAAATAAATGTGCACATAAATATTAATAGAAAAGTTGAACGAATGTTTGGCCAATAAATATGTGAAAATAGAAAAGTATTAACTTTTAAGCCAATGAAACGAAACAAATTTCTGAAAATATTTAGGTAAAAATTCTGTCAACTAACTTTAGACCATAAGATGTAGCCTAATTCTAAGTTGATTTATCTAAATAAAAAGTAATACTACGAATTAAATACACATGCAGTAAACTTTATATAACGATTTGAGATGTAAACATATTGATTTAATTACGTTCAACATTAATTTTAACCGGTTCATTGATTTGAAATAGAAATTATTCGCATTCAGTAATTAAGAAATAATGTAACTTCCTGATTTCCTGATCGAAATCTCACTCTCAAAGCTTTCATTCATTCCGCATACAGTCGCTAGCTGCTAAGGTCGTTGCAACGAAGAGATTGTGTAACACAACAGCCGTAGTATATACATTTCTATGTAGATCTAATGTCGGTATCGCAAATGTAATTGTCTACGTGCCGTTTTCACGTTCTCCAAACTGATTGGGATTCAATCGACGGCATCGGGATTCAAATTACATCCTGCGGACCCGTTCGTAAAAAATAATTAAAAATTCGACATCTCGAACTGTGTGTGAATTACTCCTCACTCCTACACTCTTACCATTCACATAACCAAACGCTAATTCATACCAAACTCGGTACAAACAATGAAACCAGAATACCAACGAACATGTGTATCAACATTACATATTTTTTTACTTTTTTTCATCCGCTACGAATAATGAGACCATATGCTATTGTTATGGTTCTTGAATATCGAGTTATGTGGGTTTCTAGTTCAATGTTGGAATTACTTGTGGTTCGGTGAAGCGACAACTGCGTACGAGTGATATCATCGTTTAGGTTAATATATATGATTCGTTTTTGTTTTAATCGTTAAGACCGTGGAAAGATTGGATTTATAGTTAGAAAATTTGATTAGCTTACATTAAGAATGTTTGATGTTAGTTTTAATAATTGCCAAATCTTATAGTAGAGTCAGCATATATTCTACATCAAAAAATAAAAACTATATTTATGGTTAGAAGTTAAATATGTTTCCAATTTATAAATCTTATATATATACTTTGATTAAAAAAATTGATGTATTTGAAAGATTTTCAAAAACATGATTTGGATTAACTTTAGCCTTAATTATTGTCAAATCTTACAGTAGTGTCAGCATATAATCTACATCAAAACATAAGAATTTGCAAAGATTGCATATTAGAATATTGCAATAGTTACTTCTATTAGCAAAGTTGATGTATTTGCAACTTATGTAAATTTTGTTAAGACTATGGAAAGATTCTATTGATGGTTAGAAGTTGTATCCGGTTTTCGATTGGCGCCAATACCAATTCTAAATAACCGCAATTTACGCACTGCGAAAATGAATAAAAAATAATCGTGGCATAATTTAAAAGAAATTGTTATGCTGTTTTTCTCAATATACTCAATATTAAATAAATTTGAAATAACACGTTTTGCAATTAAAAAATGTTATAAATAACGAAATAAATTATGACCACTTGAGTAGAGAAAAATTATTTGTTTTTTTAATGTAAAATTGACTTCATTAAAATTATGGATAGCATTTAGTAATTGCATTTATTTTAAAACGGCTGTGATCACTCAACCGATTAATTGCAACATCCATCCATGACAAAGATCAGAAGGATAAGAAAACTTAAGTTAAAATAACTTTACATCTAAGTCATATTTAATAACTGTAGAATTTTAAAATGAGCAACTAACTAAAGCATCTTTATTTTTATCAATATAAAAAGTACATAAAATTTAAAATGGACAATTATTAATTGCGTGTTCCTTTCTGGGCTTTAGGCCATACTGGTATACTTAATTTGTATATTGGATACGTGTCAGGTTTATTCAGAATTGTTTGCGTTGGGTGATTGTTGTTGTAAAGTGATAAGTTTGTTATTTTTTTTAAAACCCACTTCTCGACTTCTCGATTCATGGGTTTCCGAATGGTAAACAGCTGAAGGGGAGTCTGTGTTGTCTGGAATTCGGCTGCTGGTTATTTCAGATATAGTTGGGTTAGGGTGATTTTCCACCTTTGACTCATAGAAACGTTGCGAGATGTTTTTAATGTAGTCTTTAATGTATAGAAGGTTCGCTTCATCATGCCTGTTCTTTACCCTCGTGTACCTGTCTTTGTTCAGCGCAAGTCTCAGACATTTATTTTGGTACACTTGGATATCATTGTACTCGTTTTTCATCTTATTAAAATAACGTTGAAATGAAATATTATCATGATAGATATATCGGGTTTGCTTTATGGGTGTATTTCTTGAAATGAAATTCTTTTCTCCATTTTAAATATTACTATATAATTATATAATATTTGCGTACATGAACATTATAATTTACAATAGTAATAGACAGAAATTGCTTTCACTAAAAATAACAACTTTGATTTAATTTTTTTTTTGTGAAAATTACATTTTTTAAAATACATTTACATATTTAAATTATTGTATAAAAACTAAATTTTATTATATATAGAAACAAATAGTTTTTGAAACACAATTATATAATTTAGTTTATAAATATACGCCCTTTATTTTTTCATTTGATTGATTCATGTTTTATAAACTTTAATAATTTATGATAAATGAATATTTTTTTGATTAAAATATCAATTATCTTTGTATATTATTATATTATTACTGGTATAATTATATTTAATATATTTTTACATATAATACAAATGCAATTGTTTCATTGTTCTAAATTTGGCGACATAACGGTAAGTTTAACGGACAACGAACCAATAGGAAGTAATCGTAACAAAACCTCTAGACTTGATTACAGGAAACGAAAAACTAAAATGAAAGAAACAATGGAAAAATGCCTTTTTTTAATTAACCTCATTCATTATCAAATATTGAATGAGTTCAAGTTGAATATTTATTTAGAAATAACATGTTCATTCATGAATTCACCAAATGTTTATTTTTTCTGAATTTATGATCTTCCAATAATGAATGAACTCTATATAATTTTTAGTCGATTATCCTAACAATATTAAATATATTATAACTGAACAGCAAAATATATGCAATGGAACCTCGCATAGGAAACAAACTAAATTGTAAGAAAATGTTTTCCAAAATGGATCGTATCGTATATTGCATTAGTTTTTATGGGAAAAATTGTTTCATAGAAATACGGAAATTTTGGAACGGATTATGCTCGTTAAGCGAGGTTCCACTGTATATAAAAAAAACATTATATAGTTCATTTCTGAATCGTTTAAAGCAGTGATTATGTGATTTCAAACTATCAGCCCGCGGGTCTCATGTGGCCCCCGAATCTAAATTACACGGCCCGCGAATACATTTCAATTATGCATTTGTTGTAAATGGGATACTTAAGCTATAGAGACTTAGAGATATGGACAGAGCTTATGTGCTCGACTGTAGAAAGACAATTAGATTAGAATAAATAAGTCAGCTGCTTTCAGGTCGTGGATTCGGCCCGCATGTAATTTCAGCTTGAAACCAATATTTTAATGACAATAATTTACTGATCAACATATTATAAAGATACAAATTGCAGTACAATTCAATAAACTTGAAGTTTTTATCAACAAATAATAATTTATATTGATACTTAATCTAACAATAATTTTAAAACGTGTGTATTCTACTTCACTCTATTAAATAAATTGTAAGATATAAATAAATGTTGCTAGTTAATCATTAATATGACTTGTTATTATAAAGAATTAATTATTTATATTTTCCATAAACAATTTTTCTATCGTCTCAGTAATCAACACGTGCAAAGTGTGTTTTACAAATAATTAAATCCGAAATCAATAATTTTATAATAGCCTTTTTTAATAATTGAAATCACAACTTGCTGTTTCTTACTAATAATGATTCTAAAAGTTATTAATGATAATGTTGTTTGTTAAATTGGCTATAAATATACCAGGAAAAAAATATTTGAAGGAAATAGTAATAACAATTAAACAATTATTTAACAAATGACATTTATTAATTTAGACTTTTTGACATTTGCTAATATTTCTTATTATTTAATTTAAGTAAAACTTTTGAAATAAATATCTTAGATTTAATTAGATTCATGACAACAAATATTTTATTATTATTTTCAGTATTTTGTATTGAAATTTGATTTCATATAAAATTTACAGTTTCTATGTGTTTAATAGACAATTCTAGATTCAACTAAGTGTCCCATATTTGACCATTTTAAAAAAATGTTTGCTCTCTGATTATACAGTAAAATATTTGATAAGATACATTATGTTATTTTTTTATATCTAAACTACTTGACTATATTAATTATATGAGAAAAAATATAATTGATAAATTGTGAAAAGAACAATTATTTATAATATGGTTTAATATACGAAAAATATTATATAACAAAATATTATATATGGGCAGAAATAAATTAATATATAAATAAGGTTTATTTAAATCTTATAATGATTTATTGATTAGCAAATTGTTAAAAATAAAGACAATCGTAAACTTGCGAATGATATAACATAAATAATTCCACATAATATAAATAATAATTAGAGTGTAATGAAATATTCATTAAGAAAATAAATAATCTTGAAATTGATCATGATATGGTTCGTATTAAGATACATTTTATGTACCAAAGTATATTTTAAAGCATAGATATTACGTGTAAACTTTTAAAAATAGAAATTGACCGGTGTTTTTCTTTTATAAATATTAGTTTAAAACATGTAACTAGTTTGAATTTACTGTTGTTGAAGCGAATGCTCTATAGCACTGCCGTAAAATGATAAATAAATGTGAAGGTTGATGTAATGTAAAGCAAATTTCTGAAACACTTACTTTACTCATCTTGGATGCTGCAGTAGTTTGGATTCTTGTATATAATTTTTTTCCTGTAGGTATTCCTAAACTGGTTGAATGAGTCGTATAGAGAAGGATCCGCGCGATCCGTAGTGAACGTGCGATTGGGACTAACTGTCGGACGGTGCGGTCGCAATACAGAATTTAACTCTTCCGCACGTTCCATGTAATATAGTAACAGTACTTCTGCTTTGTTTTCCCGTCCACTTGGATGCGTGTACCAGACAGGCATACACCTTTCTCCGAGTACTTTCTCCGCCCATGCGATTCCATCCCACAACCGGTACCATGCACCATCTCGTTGAATGCAAACTTTTAGCAAAAATATTACATGCATAAAAAAAAGGAAGAAGCCATTCGAAGTTCGCTTAACCGAAAACGTGGATAACACAATAATCGCATTACATATTCATCCGGTATACGACGCTCATTTGGCGAAAACAATTCGTGATTATTGTATGTAAATTCATGGAAATATTGAGATGAATTAAATGATTCATAGAGCGTCAGTTGGATATAAGCGGTACGAGGAGGTGACTACTTAACTTATTAAATCACCATGAATTGTCTTTATTTGCTAAGCCTTTAAGGCAAACGCCATTGACTCATAGCATTTAATATTGATTTAGAAGTTTAAGATAACACAATTAATTATTCTGATTAAAGAAAAAAATTACAAAAAAAAACTAGTTTATTTTAAATCGATTAAATTAGCAATTCAAGTACTTTCATACCTCGATTAACGAATAGGATGTGTTCCACGACATTACTTTGTTAAACGACACTTTGAATGCAGAGGCAAATATTTACATAGAAAGTAAAATCACATTATCAAATATGAGTTGATTAACTTAACAGCAAGTTATAGCATTAATAACACTTCTTCCTAAATCAGGATCATTAACAAAAAATGTTTTCAATGTCATTTTAGTACCTTTTTAAATCTTTGGTTATTACTTTTGTTCGGCAGGAGACAAAGAGTAGAGACAAAGTTTTCTAAATCTTCCATCATTTTTTGCCTTCTATCAATTTCAAACATTCTCTTCATCAACATATTCTAAACCTATTAATTGGCTCAATTTTAATAACTTAATTTTCAATTTCTTTGATGTTATTTTCTTCTTCTACTTGAACTTATCAAACTTAATTTATACAGTTCTTAATAACTTCTTTACAAAGACTATTTTCAGATTTTTTTCAGTCAATTGTGAACTTTATTATATGAAAGTTTCATTAACAGAGGTAACTTTATTTGGGTAGTAAAATATATTCTTAATGATCAGTTAATGTTAATAGTTTTTTCCATCTAAAGAACATTTAGATGATTTAAAATTTAAAATGAAATTACAATCTGCAAAAAATAAAATCATGTAGTAATTTCAAAAAGAGAGAAAATTGTAAGGATTTCTTTGATTTTGAAAAGTGTGTGAGTTTGTTACCTTATTTCGGATTATAATATACAATTTCATATATAGAAAAAGAGTGGAAGCTTAGAATATATATATATAAATGATACATGATTTGTTTTTTTTTAATAAAGATGCTTCTGAGCATAAAAGATTGACACTATAAAGTAACTAATTACTTTATTGCGCTAGATTCCATTTTGAAATCATAGTTTGTCCATAATAACCGCATTTGGTGTTGCTCAAGGTTTTACTTTCAATTTTATTGTTATTTATATTCGAAGCAAATTTGAAGTTAATAAATTAATAATCTACTTTTTATATTAAACTTTCATTTAAACACGTGCATAATAATCTTTATGTAATACAATATTAAAAATATAAAAATATTTCAAACATCATACAATTTTATTAAATTTATGACTTGTATGAAATATCTTATTCATTAAGAAAAAATATGCAAATTATGAAAGACAAAAATGTACGAAAATTAAGTAATGATGCTGTTAATCATTTTAAGTATGCAATCAGCAAAACAATAAAATAAATTAAGTCTGCGTCATGGAAATATTGAACAATGTATGTACTATAGTAACAGAAAACCATTTAAATTAAAATATAATTAAATAAGATTTATTGCAACAAATTACCATAATAAATTAACTAATCTCTTAGAAAACGGATTTTATAGAAAAAAATGTTGGAATTTTTTAATGATGATAGCATATTTATACAATTTCCATCCATAGTTTTGGTTCATTTGGAAATAAACTTTATTATAAATTATATTAAAGATTTCGATTGATAATTTTATCAATTATTATTATTTAACGCTTGGGATGCGTTCCTTGAAAACAGCCGCTAAAAATAACAGCATTAAACAAAGTCACATTAATATATATTGAAGAAGTAAATTTAGAACTTTTTTGGCTTCGAGTAGATCACTTTATATCAAATCACCGTTAATCAAAGAAACTTAAAAAGTAGTAAAGTAAAATAACAAACTATATCATTTTCTGCCATCGATCAATTTCAAACATTCTCTTCATTAACATATTGTAACCTATTAATTGGCTCAATTTGAATAACTTAATTTTAAATTTATTGGATGTTATTTTCTTATTCTAGTAGAATTTCTCGTCAAACTCCATTTATACAATTTATAATAACTTCTTTACCACTATTTTCAGACAATTGCCAACTTTTTTAGAACCTTAGGCTCCGAGTAGATCACTTCATATCAAATCAGCGTTAAGCGAAGAAACTTTAAAAGTTGTAAAGTAAAATTTATATTATAATTCATACTTCAATTAACGAATATGCGGTTTTTAAAAACTTTGTTTTCATATGTAAAAATTATAGCTAAAATGGGAATACATTTCTTCGGAAAATTGTTACTGACAATGATAAATAATTGGAGAAAATCAATTCGTTTTTTAAGCAATCAAACATCATTTTTTATTTCTAATAAGCTTAAAAATTCAATATAAATGATTTAAATGAATAATGCTGAAATCTAGAATCCATTAAACAGACAATATTTCTTCTATATTTAACCTATTACTTTAGAGCAATTATTTTTAGTTTGAATATTTTTTTTACAAGAATAAACTGCAAGAAGATGCGGATTTATTGGAATAAGCAATTGTATAAATCAATAAACAATATATGCAGATGCTTACTTAAATGTACTTATATTTGACATTAATATTAACTTGAATTCTTGAAATAATAACAATAATATTTGTAAATAAACACATTTTTATAGCAGTTAAAGACCTAACATCAACAATAATAACAGAGTTATTTACAAGCATATTTAATGGTTGTTTATTTAAATTATTGTGTTTTTAATGAAAGGTATCAAGACTGTATTTTTTTCAATATTTAAATTAATTCGTCCGAAGTCCATTGGTTTTTTTACAGAACCATTGATAATTTCGTTGTCTATGACCTCGATAAATTCTTAATTAATTATTCTATTTAGTTTGAAAAAAGGTAATTTTTTATGTCATAGTATATTTATTTTGCAATCCATTCCTGCGAACATTAATTAAATCTATTGGCGATTGACATTTTTTTTTTGGTAAACTTTCCAATGGAAATTATTACCATTATTCTCTTCTTTTTATTTTGACTGTGTATCTGCTGCTATCCTTAACAGTGCTATTGTCTATCGACTTGGCTGAAGCTGAACCTCATTAACGATGATGAACGATGGCCCTATTCCTACAAGCACCGAGGGAGCTCACAAAGGGCTTGGCATAGTCAGGATTCGAACCGGCGTCCACGGGATCGTGAATAGGGCCAAATGGTTGAAAAAGTAATTAGAAATTACTTTGATTTTTATAGAGATATGTTGTTTTGTTATATCAACTAAAGACCTAACACCAACGATAAATAACAAAGCTATTTACAAGCATCTTAAATGTTCGTTTATTTGAATTATAGTGTCATTAATGGATGGTATTATACAAAACTGGATCTCTCAATATTTAAATTAAATCTATTGAATTTGTTACCGAACCATTGATAATTTTTGTTACGTTGCCTATGACCTCGATAAATGCTTAATTAATTATACAACTAAGTTTGAAAGAAAGATATTTGAATTTACTTTGATTTTTATACAGAAATGTTTTTTTAAATTATTTGTAAAAGAAGAGATTTCTTTTGCAGGATCTTAAATGGTCGTTTATTCAAATTGTCGTATTTTTAAATTATTTTTGTATCTCAATATTTAAATAAATACGTCTGAAATTCTGTGAATCTATTACCGAACCATAGATGATTATAATAAGTTGTCTATGACCTTTAGATATTATTTGGTTTGAAAGAAGGATATTTGAATTCACTCTGATTTTTATATAGAAATATTTTATTAGATATGTAAGAGAGAAGATTTGTTTTGAACAAATACATGTTGTGGATACAACAACATTTAATAGTAGATAGACTGGAGTCATATGCTTATGTTCTGGCTATTGGCCTACTCGACAACAGTGAAACCACAAACAGGCTGAAGCGTTACAAACCTCTAGATTTAAGTAATTATTAATGTTCAAAATCGTCATTTAATAATAATACGAAATTTAACATATATAAATAAAAATTGATTAATTGTGATTTTCATTTAACAATTACCAATACGGACTTATAGCATATAATACTGATCACTTAAAAATAACACATATTACTAAATCACGATCATACTGTCGTTTTCAATGTCATTTTAAAATTAACTGTGGAACTTCTTCAATATGACCTTTAGATATTATTTGGTTTGAAAGAAGGATATTTGAATTCACTCTGATTTTTATATAGAAATATTTTATTAGATATGTAAGAGAGAAGATTTGTTTTGAACAAATTTTTGTCTCTGATTTTAACTAACACCGACAATAATAACAGAGTTATTTACAAGAGAAGAGATTTGTTTTGAACAAATCTTTGCATCAGTTCTTTAACTATAACCAACAACAATAACAGAGTTATTTACAAGCATCTTAAATGGTCGTTTATTTAAATTATCGTGTTTTTACATGAATGAAACGCATCTTACAAAATTGCCAATTAAAACTAAGGCCAATGTTTTTTTTTCATGTTCATTTAACATACGAAATGTCATACAGCAATTTTCTACTGAATTACATGTTAATTAGAATCGAATGTGATCTTGAGAAAATGTAACAACACT